AAGAGATAAACTTCTTATTCGCTCCAACAAAAGTGAAAACGTTTCTCATTACCGCAACATCACTTTATCATATTTTTTTGCATCCTTACTATACATAAGAAAGAAAATTTGGCTATATTCTTGTGTCTTTTTAATGATCCCATCTAAGTCCCTAAGATTTCGTTGGTCTCCCGGGCGGAACTCTTCATCAAAGCAAGAAAGATGGTGGCTTTGTGTGTACTTGTTGAGTTTGTTGGGTTTAAACTTTTGTAAAATTGTCAAAAACTATAATACTATGATGTATTTACTTACAGATTTGATGCACTACTCTCATAATACTATCCTCCATTTCAGTCGGTATGCATGTATGTATAAAATCAAGTTATCCCTTTCCCCAACTTATAAACAATCCCGTTTCGTAATATAGATCACTTTCTTACACCATATATAGTTCATATACGCTTACATATATTAGTAATACGCTTGTCTCGCTCTTGTGCAGCTTGAATTTGAAAACCGACGTTAGCCACCTGAGAGTCCACAGCCATCACACATCGGCTTAATGCGTCCACATGCCACATTGCAATGCCTCGTCGATGGACTTTTTATTATTGTAACTTTCTAGCCCTAAAGCCCACCCAGCCACCTCTTGAGTGTCAAAACTGATGAATTACAATGCATCGAAAGCTAATCCTTCTACATACATCTACACGGAAGCGTAGCGATGCATAAATTATTGTCAACATCTCAACCTCAAAACCATGAAACTGTGCTTTGGCATTGTTAATCAAGTTGGTACAAATCGTCAGAAGAAGAAAAACAAGATTAAATCCTTCCGGTTATATTCAATATCCGACATATTCTATATTTTCCTAACCGTAGCCCTTATTTCTACTACGTTAAAGACAAAAAAATATTTCTAATTCTGAAACATATGCAGCTTTTTTATTTTAAATATACCTAGCTTCTGTGTCCTTGAAATTACGCTGTCACTGCAAGCGATAAGTTCCTCGCAGCCAAAAGTTTGGGTATATCAAAAGTTTTAAATAAACCAAGAAAAGTTAGTGATTTCAATTTTAATTAACAACTGTAATTCGTTCTCAGCATCTACATACATACCTACAATAATTCAATCTTATCGAACGTATTTTAAAGTAATTCAGAAAATCAGGCCAATTCCCGGTAAATCGGATGCTTAAGTTTCAGGTTTCTACGTTAAGTGGTTTAGACTCTGGGTCGATCCGTCAGTTATTCAGAACAAAACCTTTTATATGCAGAAATAAATATTGTATTTTCCCAGCTACTTCGCATTTCATATATTATATCAATGAGTGTCTTGGGGAGCGGAATATTAACTCTCTTAAAATATCTATCGATTTTTCTTTTACACCCAACCGCGCAGCTGACTTATTTTCAAAAGCCTTGTAATTTGCAAATTGTCAAAATTTAAACATGTTTGTTTGTGAATTATTTACGCGAAAGCAAAACAAAATGAGTTATTCCGTAGAGTAATTGGTAAATAAATATGTACATATATTCAGTAAATATGAAGTGAGTGTATACTTGTTGTGCAGATTTCGTAAATCTGAAATGAGAAGCAATGGAGTTTGTAACAAGTAATTTTGATTTTAGTCACTATCACTATCAACATTTCTTCCTTGTAGTGGTCATGGATTTCACCTAAAAAACGGTTTAAATTTCCTATACAAATATGGTACAGATTGATTACCAGAGGCTACGGTCTACAAGCAGCCAAAATTAAAATGCAAAAGTTCTTATTAGAACGAACAAAATGGCCATACGATCACCAATGCTGCGGTAGATATGTGTAAATATTTAATTACACAGACTATAATTATAATGATTAGTCACAGCGTTGGCAAAACTGCATGAAATGTATAATTTTCAAATCTTCCATAATTTATTTAGAGGAATATTCGGAGGGATTAACAAAAGTTCGCATTAGCGCTTAATAGTTGTTGGTTAAAATGAATTGAAAAATACCACAACAGATCAGTCATATATGTATCTTGGCGAAGTGGTAGAGCACTCGCCTGTTAAGTCCGGTTGTTTCGATCCCTGCCGTAAGAAGTCTGATGAGGAGATGTGGCGATTTCCGAAACAGCTGTCACCCATTTTCCTTTGTTGTTACCAAAATATTAACTTAACTTAATTTTTGGTTTAAATTAAGTTTCCATAATTTTTGGATGTTGGCTAACGCGGCCGATTTGCCAAAAACAAATTCAAAGTCACCAACTGACCGAGCTTTTGTAATTCCCTTCGTATGATCGAAGACATAAGATGTTGTTGATTTAAAAACAACATACTTATGTACATACATAAATAAATAAACTAATTTTCCTTCGCATTGCTAAGTAGTAGTATCGTATTGACAAATTAAATAATAATGAAAATATGCATACATATGTACATATAAATATCTTTTGCCTACTGTAATGCCGATTGATCAAACTCTCTATTCTCCAAACGTTTGCATATGGCAAACTGTTTTTGTTTTTTCTCTAGCGGACAGAAACTGTTGCTTCCGAGCAAGCGAGCACCACCCTTGTTTTATTTTATATTTTGTTCTATTTTGAAGTGTAACTGAATTTTGAAGTTCGGGGAAATTTTCAAACAAATTGACGTTTAGCGATAATTTCCCTTGGGTTTTTTCAGTGGCTCATTTACAATGATACCACTTTTTCACTTAACAAATGTCAGGCTAAGCATAGTGTTGGCGACTTCAACACGAACCGGTTTCACTAACTCAAAATGGCTATTATGTTGTTGTTTCCCATGTTAATCGATAACCTACTTAATATATAAATATTAATTACTTAATTCGATCTAATATTCAATGCAGTTGTAATAAAACTGTCATTTATCTGATGCTGCAATTGAAAACCCTCTAACATGCCAATTCTCTCTGTTACCGGTAAAGTGAATTTTATTACTTTTCTTTAACACCGGAAATCGAATGTGGTATTCTGGCGAACTGGTTACAATGTTTGAAAAAACTTTGACAGCACTGCTCTTTTCGTCCACTTCAAATTACATTTGCCAGTTCCAATTATATTTGCCAGTTGGTGAAGTAAAAAGGTAATTCGTAAAAAAGAACCCAGCCGTTCGGAGGCGTCTTAGTATAAACTGTGGGTCCCTGCATTTGTTGGAAAAACATAAAGACGCAAAACCACAAACTGGAGGAGGAGTTCAGCCGAAAATCACTGCAGTGGTTACAAAGCGCCATAAAGTGAAAAGAAGAATATTTACATCGAAGTGGGAGACGGATCTCAGCAAAATAAGTAAGTTTTATTTATTTGCTTATTAAGTCATAAACAATTGAACTGAATAATGATAAATATGTCAGGACGATAAAAAAAAGCTAATTTAAAACAAATTAAAGGGGAAGTTATTTTCTTTCAATTTTTCATTCATCTTCAGTCAATTCTAGATGCAAAATGTGCCTACTTATTTTGTTTTTTATTTTTTCTCAAATTAACAACCCAAATTCAAAATAAAAAAGTAAATTTTATTACTCCGATAAAATGACCTGTAACCGGCCTATTCTAACCTTTACTGGTAAAGTAAAGTTTGCTACTTTTTTTTAACACCCAAAATTAAATTTGGTATTCTCGCGAACTAGTTACAATGTTTGAAAAAAACTTGGCAACTCTGCATTTTTCATGTTTGTCAAATTACATTTTCCATTTGATAAGGTAAAAAAGAATTGTGAATATTATTCTTCGAAAAGGCAGACGGTGCACAACAAAATAAATAAGTTTTATTTATTTGTTTATTAAATCATAAATATTTGAACTTAATTTTGGAAAATATGCCCAAGCGACAAAAAAAAAAAAAATTTATGAAAACGCTATCTTCCAAATTAAATGGGTAATTTTTTTCCCTCAACTTCTAAGGATATGTCTTTTTACACTTTTTTCTTCATCTTCAATGTATTCCAGGTCTAAAATATGCCTACCAATTTTGGTTTTTTTTTCTTAAACTAACTACACAAAATCAAACAGTAGATTTTTTGTTACCTCCTATTTCGCTGGTAACAAAATTTACAAGGTGACAGTGAACTCAGAATACGAAATAGTAACAAAATTTACTTTGGTATAAAATTTACCATTCAGTAAATTTTGTTACCTCGATATAATACCTGTAAGAGTGTTTTAGATAGAAAAATTGTAATTTTTAATGATGAAAAGATATAGAGTGCATATAAACTACTTTTGTTGTGTTAACAAGTGATCCTTCTATTTGTCGCTTCGTCTGTCAATTCGTTGAGAAAAAATTTTAATTCTCCAATATCTAAGCCGAGCTAAAAACAATATACATTTTTTCTGAAAAAAAATGACAAAGCTAAATTAAAAATTTTCCAGCTAAATGGCGAAAAAAGAACTAAATGCAGCTGAAAAAAAGCTAGAATGGCAATTCGCTAGGCTTAGCAAGCTTACCTTCAGTAACTTATTTTGACATATTTTTATAAATTACATATAAAGTAAAAAAAGTTATTAATAAAATTAATTTTTTATATTATTCTACGATATGTGAAATTTCCCTGCAATAAAATATCAACATAAACGATTGGTATTCTCTAGCATGCGTAAAAAGAAGTTATTATATATAGTAATATCTGTTTATTTGGTAAAGCGTTATGGCAAGTTTACAATAACCAAGAGAAAATACACAGTCATTTACCCGTAATGATATTTTGAAGAGGAATTGCGAGGCTTTTTATTTGTGATGTCATCGCTCTGTTCATTTTCTTCCATCAAATACACTTTATTCACTTTACCGATACGCTTCCAAGGCCTTACCATTTGCTACTGGGTGTATTTATAATTTTTTTATGAACAAATGTACATATGTAAATATGTAAAAACTTACGTAGAGTAGCAGACTGAGAGGGTTGTCAAATAACAATCAAGTAAGCAAGTCTATCCACGACAGAGGGGCTAGCATGAGAAGTGGGGCACAAACACAAAAGTGAGCTTTGGATTGGAGGTACGAGTATAGCTGTAATGGTCAATAGACCAGCTCGGTAGTTTGCCTCAGTAGACGCACTCGCATAGTACACTGAAAATTCGTTCGCTAATCAATGAACTTTTCTGTTTCGTTTCTGTTTTCTTCTATTCGTTAGTCAACGCGTATTTTCAATGTAAGAAATACAGCTCTTGTTGATAAATTCGAATGTTCACATCGACGCATGTGAGTTCATATTTTTTAAGTGAATTTCTTAATATGTATTTATTATTCCGTCGGTTACTAATAATTGTCGTAATAGTGCAAGAAAAATTATACAATAACGTACGTGAAAGTGCTTGCAACTATTTGAATATATGTATACATACATATATTCATGTGTATGTGTACATTTGTATATACATATGTATGTATACATGTGTAGTCCATGGACAAAATTTATAAAAAATTTTGAATAATACCTAATACAAAAATATTTTGTAATATGTGCAAATACATACATACGATCATATAGATATGTACATAGACCATAACAATCAAATTCGATAGATTTTATTGTTAGTGCCTGCAAAGTCTAAATCAAATCGATCATTTAACATTTATTTCCTTTGGAGGGCAATCTTCTATCAAAAACTATAAGCTTTAACTGTCCTTATAGATGTGAACTTCAAACTACGCTCTTAAAATTATTATTGATCAATGTTTGTATGTACCGATATACACTCTGCACACGCGATATATTATATGTACAATATGTACTCCGTAATGATAGTGGAGCACTCTGAGTGGAAATTAGTTAGGAAACTGCTCCATAAATAGCATCTACGGCGAATTATGTACATTACGCAGTATATACGAAAAATTAGTTCCAAACATACTTTTTAGTATCGCAATCAAATTCACTTTGTAGAAAAGCAAGTAAAACATAATATTTACCATATAAATTTATATTACTAGCAATACTTTCCTAGTAATGAATTTAAAATGAATTTCAATTTGCGCATTTGTTCTATTTGCCATGGATTGTATTAGCTTTTTTGTTAATATGATACGATACTTACTATTATCTATTATCTTTTGGGCCGATTGCATTTTGTTGCCAGCTCAAACTAGAGATCGATGCTCAGCAATCGGATGTGAGTAAAAAAGGCGAGTTACTATAAACAATACATACATATATACTTTTGTACTCGTATGTATAATTCGCCAAAAAGTAATTTAAAAATTTGTGAATCTCAATCTTCAATCTTTACCAGAAATAAATTTGAATTAAGCCTAGATTAGCCCAAGTTTTTTTAAATAGATTTGCTCACAGAAGAACAAGAGAAATTCTGCAGAAACGTTTTGAAATATTATGAAAAATATTTTTTTTGTATAATAGAAATAGTAAATATTTAAGAAAAATGTTTATTAACCCACAAATGCACTAGTTATACGGTACATACGAACAAAACTAACTTAATTTCAATTATATACAATTTCTGCATATCCAATTTATTGCACACTTGCAGCTTCGTGTAGTAAATGTGATCGTTAAAATACGAAAATCATCGACATCGACTGGTAGCGAGACGTGCGTTAGTCCAATGCTGCACTACAGAGGAGTAGTTCTATAGGTACTCCAAAGGACTTTATAGTCAACAAATTTGTGCACGGCTTATGAGACATAAACATATGTATGTACATTGCTTTATTATATGTATGGCATGTGCCTATGGCAACAAAAGCTATTGATTTTTTTTTTTAAGTTCAGAGTACAAATTATTGAGTAAACTTTGTGTTTGAATATACATACATACATACATACATACTATATACACGTATGTATGTGCATATTTCGAGAGAAATATTCATGCGTGTAACTTTTTTGTGATAGCAAAATAGTAGGTTCATTATGCGCATGTACATACATACATATACATATGTATATGTATAATATGTATGTCTGAACGTATCTAATACTATTTTAGTTCTATTCCCCACTCTTTCTCCGTTGATCTAGTAATTCTTTTTAGCGTAGGCACAGTTTACGAGATTCTTGTAATGTGAATGAAAAAAAAAATATTCAGGGCTATTCTATGTACATTTCTATTACATATCCGCTCCCCGCTCCGCCACAATCGTAGTTAGGTATTCTGAGTTGCGATCGAATCGAAAGAAGAAGACGAAGAGGGAAGCATTTCCGAAATCAGCTGATTGCATGTGAGTGTGTGAAATTGGAACACAACAAAGCAAACAGACACCCAGACCATTTTTTGTATAACATTAAACAAATATGTATAGAAAAATCGTATTTTTAACGTATAAAAAATCCATAGCAGCAGCGAAGAGGAGAAATATTATGTGGCAAACGTTAAAAGAAAAAGTTTGCTAGACTTGTGTGCCCTTCTTAGATGAACGACAAATTGTAGGAACATTTTAGATTGAAAGATGAAAAATTCATTACAATTGATTTACTTACATATTTAGACTCAAAAAACAAAAAAAAAATAAATAAATAAGGCTTAATCAAGGAATTTTCATGTATCCTAGATGTATTTGCAAGAGAACCTTGATCAAAGGGATCCGGTGCACTATTAGCACATTCTTTCAAAAGAAATATCCGTTTTGGTTGCCTTTGTAATACCTAATTTTTCATCTTGTTCTCGTGATATATCAAAGGTCGTTTACTTACATGAAAATATATATGTATATGTATATGTACATACATGTGTGAAGCCCATAATAAAATAGGACAGTGGCAGTTTTCGGAATCATCTGTTTTTTAGAAACACTGCTGTACAGCGAAGCGACACACAATACAGCAGTGGCAGCTGGCAATACTGCTCAGCTTAGGCCTAATTCTAAATTCACCACCACTGTCTTTATTGCATCAAACTTCATGTGTCCAATTTAACACAACAGCCAACTTCTGTTTGAGTTATTTATTTACTTTATTGATCTGTAACGCAAACTTTTGTTTGAATTTTGTATATGCTTGCCGATCTCTTCATATATGTAACTCATTCGTCCAAATTCTTTGTGTTCCGTACCTTTTGTACATATAGTGTAACTGCATTAAATTTAGTATCAATATTTCTTCTTTTATCAGCAAAACCATATTACAGGCCTATTCTGTCGAGGTAACAAAATTTACCTAGGTATTAAAATTTACCATTCAGTAAATTTTGTTGCTATTTCGTATTCTGAGTTCAATAGGAGATAACAAAAATATCTGCTGTTGTTGAGTTTGTATTGTTAGTTTGAGAAAAATTAAAAAAACCAAAATGGGTAGGCATATTTTAGGCCTGGAATTCATTGAAGATGAAGAAAAAAGTGCAAAAAGCCGTATTTTAAGAAGTTTTCGAGTCTAAAAAATAGCCCTTTAATTTGTAAGATAGCGTTTTCATTCAGTTTTTTGTTGTTCAGGCATATTTTCCATAATTAGGTTCAAATATTTATGATTTAATAATCAAATTAATAAAACTTTTTAATTTTTTTGTGCACCGTCTTCCATTTCGATGTAAATATTTTTCTTTTTACTTTATCAACTGGCAAATGTAATTTGACATAGAAGAAAAAAACAGTGCTGCCAAATATTTTTCAAACATTGTAACCAGTTCGCCGGAATAAAAAATTCAATTTCGGGTGTCAAAGAAAAGTAACAAAATTTACTTTACCGGTAACAGTGAGAATAAGCCTGGTAGTAAAACTTTTTATATGTGTATAATATATATTTTTTAAAGTTCCCGCAGCACATTTATAAATAAATAAAGTAAAAAACCACTTACTTAAGCCCACTTAAATAAAGCATAGGAATTCTACACTCATATAATGAATTCAACACTGGTCCGGCAAATCATCGAAATTCGACAACTATATCAATAGTCTCCATACAACCGACTTGTTCAGATATACGATCAGAAACCATTCAAGAGCATGAAATTTAATATTTTCCACCACCGCAAACAAATTCCGTAACTGACGCCTATCCCGTAGAAACGAAAGGTGATTTCGTTTTTCCGGAAAACTGGCATAGCTGCTTGCTCGCTATTACACAAAGTTGCCAATTAAGACTTTTGAAAATATGTAAATTAGAAGTGAACTAAGAAATCTGACATATTATATTTTTGAATAAATGAATGCTAGAATTGTAATTAGTTATTTATTTCAATATAAATCATGTTTTAATTTGTGTTTATATTCGAACATAGTATGTATATATAATATTACACTGGCAGCAACATATATATATACACGTATGTATGTAGATAACTTGTGACTACGTATTCTTTTTCCTGGCTGGGAGGTAGATAGAGCTGGCTCTAACTTATGCTGCAACTATCCATCTAACATAGCTTTCGTCCATAACTGGCGACGTCGAGGCGAGATACATACACGAGTTATCGACGCTACATAATTTATATGTTCGAATATAAACGCAAATCAAATATACATGATCTATATGGTAATAAATAATTAATTACGAATTTAGTTTTCATTTCTTTTGAAGATTATTTAATATTACTTTAAAAAAGACTAAACTGGCAACCTTGTATAGCAACGAGAAATGAGCCGAGTCGGTTTTACGGAAAAAATCAAATTGCCGCTGGTTTATGTGATACAGCCGTCAGTAACGACATGGGCGAGCGGTGACAACGTTATAGTTGCATAGTGCTCTCATAAGATAGGTTGGTATAGATGGAAGATATGTAAGAAGGGTAGTTGCAGCATAAAAGTGCATTTTAACTTATTTTTGATTTTATCCATCTCATTTAAGCGCAGAATACTTTGGATTTAAGGTTTGCTAAAACAACACCAATTTTACTGAAATTCTAAATATGAGAGATAATAGATGCCTTCAAGTGGCATATGGCTTTACAAGGAGTTATAACTGGAATTCATTGCTTTTTATCGCTGTAGATGATTGTAATTTAGAACAGTCTTCCATACTTTCATTTTGATGCAAAAGTGCATATGTATATCTTCTCCAAATTCCAGTCCTTGAATGTCATCCTGATAGTCTAATTCTGTTGAAGCTTATTATCATTAATGATAATAGCTACCAAATTTTTTTTTTTGAGGTATCAAAGAAAATATACAAGGAACTATAGAGAAGCCGCTCTAAATAAATGTCAAAATGGCCGAAAATTCTGTGTATGACTCTTATATTTAAAATCTAAATTCTTATGTATATCTAATTTCATTAAAATTCGCAGAAAATTTTGCAAATGATTGGGTTTCCGAAGGCTCATTTTCAACAAACATATTTGTACTCGAGAATTGTAGCCTGGATTTGATGAGATTATTTTTGCGTTTCCTTTTTATTTGGCATTAGAGCCTCCTTAAAAATTCGAGCTCGGTCTGAATATCTGATCTGGGGTCAAATCGAGCATTCCGTGAACGTATCGAAAGAAAACTCCGTGATACGTACATAAATCGTATAAAATTATTGGGATGATACCATACGAAAGCAAACGGATCGTAATTATATTAATATGTAAAAGATTTTATGTTCATTTCTAAAATTATTCACTTACTATTTTGAATCAGTTGTTCGCAAATGCTTAATATTTTGTCAAATAAAGCAATTATGGCCGGCGTTTGACTTTTTGTTTATCTTTCGATGAAAGTGATGTCGTGGAACGAATTGTAAGGAGGCGATTAAGCGAACTTGGAAGTTTTTTTCCGCCTGGTACTTTTTATCAGCGTATACCTAAAATATAACGTTGAGAAAAATTTCGAATTAAAGCAAAATTTATGTTTGTATACTCTCTTCCACGTTTCGATATCCTTAAATGGCGGGCTAAGCATTTGCTTTGACCTGTGTGCAGTTTGGCAAAAGTTTTTTTTTTTCGCTAAATTTGGATATTACCGCATGAATTCAGCGATGAACTCCTTTTATGCCGCGTTAATTTTATTTGCATTTGTGTTAAAATATTAATTTTTATTAATTCAGCAATATTTTTAATAATATTTTAAAATAAATTACTTACATTTTTATTGCTTGCTAGTTTACGAAAACAATTTTGTAATCGAGTGACAGTTCTTAAGGAAATACTCGTTAACGTAACGCCTTTCCGAACGCATCATACCTAACTACGTCAACGAGCACACGTTCACGTATGACATAATGCCAAATACTTAAATTCACGTGACGTGTTATACGTTCACGGAACGCTCGATTTGATTCCTGCCGAAATTTCAGTACATCGGTCTCCTCTATCGATTTCACTTCCTGAACTCGATGACAGTTTTCCTTTCTATCCCAAAACATTTTTATTCTCACTTTTTTCTCCGTGGTCAAATAAATCATTATATTGTTCTATGTTATCCACTTCATTTCTAGTTCCTCTTCAAACAAATTTCCAAACTCTTTATCTAAGTTGTTCATAATTTCTATGGTTAACTGTTATTCTTGCTTTGCATTTCTCTAAATTTGGTTTTGATGATTTGAAGAGAGCGCATCTTTATCGATCTAATTATAATTTTTAAAATGCCCGGTGTAAAATTAATATTTGATATAGTCCAAGCGCTTTTTTCAGTTGGGTCCATGCACTGTAATTGATTGAAATCTTCTCTTTATCCCGAAAGATATTATACAACTTTTTGAGTAGCGGGGGAAAAAATGAAAAGCAAAAAGGCGAAAAATGGCAAACGAGAAGACCGCGGAATAGCGAGTAAATTGAAATCTTCAAATATTGGAAGTAGACTTGCGCAAGAGTTTAAAGAAGAATGTGACTTAGTTATTAGTTAGTACTGTACGTCAAATCATTATGCGGCATAAGGACACATATTATATAATATTACGAATGCAGCAACCAAATGCCATTATTGAGTGCAACCAATTCTCATTAGAAAATTACCTATTGAAGTTAGTGCATTCGATGAACGTGAAGTCAATTGCTTAATACTCTGTGTAAAGAGTTTCTTGACAGTGTCAAAAATTACCAAACTAAGTTTTTGTTGTTTTGTTCGTTGCATAATCATGGCTTTTTTCAATTTGTTTGTTGATATTAACATTCTCTATGATTTTCTTATTTAAAGCCGAAATATAAATTTTTATTTCAGTATCTAAAGTGTTACTTAACATACTGTACACAGATAACTTTTAATGGAACATCACAGAATGTTACTGAATTGAATTGTTGATTCAAAATAAAAATTCAGAAGCTTACCAAAAGATTCCAAACAAGTTCCCTTTTGCGTAGCATAAGGATTGTTTTCTTTCCTTAGGGCCTAGTGCTTTATGCCGAACTTGTTGTTAATATGAAAAATAAGCTTAACGAAATGATTTTGTCCCATTTCGGCGCTTTGTTATCGAAACGAAAAAAAAATATTGATAATGTTGAAACCGGAAAAACTCTTCGTTAACATTTAATTTAAATTGTCTGCTTGCTATGACAGCACAATGTACTTTTAACATTATCTGTTAACGATATAACATTAACGGCGGCATTTTGTTTTGGTTAAAAACGAAATAGAACTTCTTTTGATAACTACTTTAACGATAACATTTCTAAATGTTTCAACCGAATCGATAGATTTGTTTTTGATTAACGCAAACTTTGTCGTTATGACGTAACTAGACTTGCTGTAGATAACATTTCAAGGTGCAGAAAGGCTTGAGGTTAGCACCGGCTTAAGTTCTCTTGCGGTAGTTCGTTAACTGTTTTCCTACACGCTCTCATTGCTAATATTTCGAAAAATTCCATATACTGAAAAATGTTTACTAAAACATGTATGTATGTAAGTATGTTAATTTTTTGAGCCAGCCTCGCTACTGGTAAAAAAATTGCACATTTAACACGAGCTCTGTTAAAGTATTTGTATGTTGCACTCAATTCGCTGTAAAGAGAGAGGCTGAACCTGATTTGCAGCATTTAGATGGCTAGCTGTAAGCACTGTGTAGTACATCATCAAGAGGTCATATCAATTTTTGACTTGAACTATAAAAACTCTTTATGAAAAAACATTATAGTGCAAACAATTGAAAAAAGTTTTGTTATTGACGTTTAAATGTAAAATGGCTACATAAATACTTATGTATGTGTACATATGTATATACTCGTTTGAACGAAACAAATAAGAAACATGATAATAATTGTTGAATGCTATATTCACGCACCGATCAGTAAAATATCTGAAAAAATCATTCTATCAATTATATATCACAAAAGAGCAATAATAGATAATAAATGAATAAAACGATTAAGCCTAATGGGAACCACTTGTTTTTAGTTCTTGAAAATACATATGTATGTATGTATCCTTGGCAATCAATTTTGTAAAAAAATTTTAAAACAAAATAGCTTTGAACACCAAAACATTTATTTGGTAAAATTTTGTATCATGGACAAAAGAAATTATGCATGAATAAACATTGATATTGGCATGCATGCATGTATGTACGTGTTTTATTTCTATATTAACACAAAAAGAAAATTGATTTAAGAATTTTATTAATTAACATACAACGAATGTTTCTCTTTTAGGGTACCGAATCCTGACATGAAGGGAACACGTAAGTACTTTGATCACGGCTAAATATTAATTAAAAAATTTTTATCTTATACTGTTTCACTGTCACTGTTTATGAAAATTCTAAAAGTTCACCTTTGTTTTTATTTTGAGTTTGATTTTCTTCGTTTTTTTTTTCTTATTTCCTACATTCCTGTTAAGATTTGCAATCACTATGTAAGCTTATGGAATTCATTCACATAATTTAGTCATTACATATTAAGCTAGAAATAAGTAATTTTCAGCAGTTTGAGATTAATAGCAGAACTGACTTGACTATTTTTTAAGTCCAACTCCTTAGGAACTCTTGAGTGGCACACAAAAAGAAAAGGATATGAGAAGAACTGATAAAACAATTAAGATAGTTAACTGATCTTCTCCGCGGCTATAAAGCCCTAACGTATCATGCTTCTTCTTCTTGGCGTTGGCACCACTTACGCGATTATAGCCGAATTAATTATAGCGCGTCATTAATGCCTTCTTTGCGCTGTTTGGCGCCAGTTGGAAATACCAAGTGAGGCCAGGTCACTCTCCACCTGATCCTTTCAACGGAGTGAAGGTCTTCCTCATCCTCTGCTTTCACCGGCGGATCTGCGGTATTCGCCCATATAATAGTAGGACGGGTGTGATGAGCGACTTGTATAATTTGGTTTTCGTTCGCCGAGAGAGGACTTTACTTTTCGATTAATTCTTCAGTACAAAGTAGCACCTGTTGGCAAGAGTGATTCTGCGCTGGATTTCAAGGCTGACGTTATTATTGGCCTTAATGCTGATTCCTAGATAGACGAAATTATCCACGACTTCAAAGTTATGACTGTCAACAGTGACATGGGACAGGAGATATTTCGTCTTGTCCTCGTTCACTACCAGACTCATTCTCTTCGCTTCGTTGGGGCCGATAATTTCAAAATCATCGGTGAACGCCAGTAGTTGTACACTCTTATGAAAGCTAGTACCTTCTATATTCAGCTTTGAAGCTCTTATTATTCTTTCCAGAATCAGACTGAAGAAATTACACGACAAAGAGTCACCCTGTCTGAAACCTCATTTGGTACCGAGCGGCTCGGAGAGGTTCTTCCCATTCTGACTGCGCTTCTGGTGTTGTCTAGCGTCAAAAAAAATACCAAACAGCGTTCTTATTATTTTTACGTGAAGCCATTGTTCAATAGCTAGCCGTGACGTTACTATCAAATTGCCGTCGTTTTGTTTTTGTCAGCCGAAAGCAATATCGACAGCAAACTAACAAGAAACCGACAACAAAACGATCATGCTCTGCTGCGGCTTACTGTGCTGTCACTGTTGCAGGGTTCACAGCAAAGCAACAGTCACAGTCATTGTTTTTACATGAATGTAGTTTACCTTGCTGTTGTAGAAAAAGTACAATAAATACTTGTAACTGTTAACAGTGACAGAAAATGTAGTTCTGTTGCTGTTCAATAGGCAGTTTTTCAAACGCTGCAGGGGCCTAGTCGCATGATTACTTTTGCATAACGTTATACATAAATGCTAGCAGCGCCGCAAATATTGCTTCTTGTTTCAAAACTTTAATTTCATTTTCAAACTGGGATATTGCTTCCAAACTTCTTGAAAAATGTTACTATCCCAAATATCTCCTTTTCCCCACGAAAACGAAAGCCTACGGAATAATCTTTTGGGTTTTTTTTTTTCGAAAAACTTGGTACTGTAAAAGTCCATCGTATTACCAATGAGTTCAGAAAGGCATTTGAGTTATGGCATGGTATGAAGGATTCATATATGTATATACAAATCCAAAATGACTTTGCCAAAAAATGATTATATCATATTATACCATACTAACAGAAGGTTTACAGTTGAAGAATGTATCTTAGAGAGGTGTCCTCAAAGCAGCGTTTAAATAAAAAAAATACTCAACATTGATATAAAACAATGAAATGATCGACAAAGCAAACTTAGGTTAAATAACTTAGCATCCACCTAGATAGACCTGGAAGAATCCTATTTCTTCTAAAATACAGCAACTTAAGCCTACAACCGCCGACTTAAATTACTTATAGAGGTCGCCCTCTTCCTCTGCTACCGCAGCGTGTACTTAATCGAATACTATCACAGCTGGAGCGCTTTCATTCGTTCGAACGACATGCTCTAGCCGGCGTGGCTACTACCTTTTCATTCGCTGAACAATATCAATGTCATCGCATAACTCGTATAGCTCATCGTTCTATCGTCTACATAGATAGAGAGCTTTACTTTTCAACTGCCTTCTCAGTCCAAAGTAGCATCTGCTGGCAAGAATTATTCTGCGTTGGATTTCATGGCAGGCATTGTTATTGGTGTTAATGCTGGTTCCTAGATAAACGAAATTATCTACGACCACGAAGATGCTTGCTCAACTAGTATACATAAAATCATGAGATTTCATTCAAAAAACGCTAGGAAACCTCGCGGATGCATCATGGTACATGGGGACCAGAATATGCATATGTACACAGAGACTCTACACGGAAAAGCCAACTAGTAAGCAAAAATTCTAGTTAAATACCAGTATTTCGAAGATGAAATCATATCAGTTTATCATTTGTATAGCAGTCCACCAGTAACGGGAGAAATAATAATTGCCAACACCATTTTTTGCTGTTGTTATATCGGCACTTCCCATTCGAGTCTAACTAGAAGCATATTTATTATTATTTTGTTTTGTTTGGCGAAGCAGGAATTTTTACCGCCATTAGTATGTTGTTTTTCTGTTGAAATGCCCAGATTTTAGTTTTTCCTAGTGGGTTAAAGATCACCACTGTGGTGCGTGAGATTCACGTGTGGATTTCAACATACCTAAATGAACTGTTATACAACTAGTATGAAGCTGATGCACAGACGGATAATAGTTATCGCGTAGGATATCGCCGTTTTATCATATCCAGCAAGGCGGACAAGTCTCCAAAGCAGGCATCTGCAAGTCTTTTGAAGAGCATCGTTTTACTTGTCGCCCATTACTATTAATAGACTAATTAACTATTAATATTGTATAACTTATAGTTGTGTTTATTAAGCAGAAACAATGAAGAAGTTATAAAAAAAATCAACCGAGAAGAATACCGCTGTCTCCAAGTTTTATAGAAGTTGCAAACTCTATTCATGAAAGGCGTTGTGGAAGGCAAATGTCTAATTTTAAGCGAAAAATTTTTTATCGAATTATAATTTCCTTATCGGGTAAAGAGGATGAATCTCAATTTCTGTATTTGTTTATTTGCACTTTTAAATATTCCAATCTTAGTCTTTTTAATTATATGAACATTATAATTAACGGTACATTTTTTTGTATGCCATTACAGTTCAGGATCCTAAATGGAGTCTCGAACGAAGGGAGTCATCGGGACATTTGGTTTGGCGCAAGGAATCTCCAAGTTCTAAAGTACGGTTTCGATTTGATGTTGAAGTATTGGAATTTGAGAAACAACCTCATGAAGATATTGAAGAAAGTAACGATGGATTTTCACTTGGAAATATTACATCAACAATAGTATTTTGTGCCACCTGCGTTGTGGGCGTGGCTGTTAGCATTTTCTTACCCTGGTATCTTATGGAGAAGGCGATATCTTCTAGTTTATAGGACTGCCTTCCAATACGTCCTAATTTAAACTTTTTTTGTATACATATGTACCTTTGTAATTACATTTAATTCTTGTGAATATACATACATACATATGTATGTGTCACAAATGTGCCTTATAACTAGAGTAGCTGAAATATTTCGTAAGCACTTTAGGAGTTTAAGCCAATTTCGAAACTCGTGAGATTAATCTGTGATTTGAAAGCATCGTCAGATTCCAATTATTGTTGAGGTTAATTATCAGATATCCATGAATAATGTAGAAAATCTATATACATATGTATGTAATAGCATATTTAAATATAATATTTAATTGTATAATATTTTTATAATTCTGCGATATTTAAATAAATAAATTTAAGAATAATTAAAAAATAAAACTGTATTAAACCATTTAAGTATATGAAACGCACATATGTATATATGTAGCTATCTTTTACAAATTAGCTGTACGTTGAATGCATGAACTGATTGAAACAATGACGTTGCCCAGATCAAAACAAACGAATGCCGGCCATAAAAAATCATTAATTATCTCTTGATAGCCCGATTTATTCATTTTCAAAAGAGTAATATTTCACGAACTTTTGACTGTAAAAATAATTAGTTAAAGTTTGGAATCCAAAAATTTGCCAATAGTTCAAAGAAGAGCTCATGTCGATTGGCCGCTGGTACTGTTAAACAACTTTGCCGTTCTTAGAGAGACGAGTGACGTCTATGAGTGGAATCGTGAATTCAGGCGAATGAGCCTGAAAGTGAACAGCAGCCGACTCCAACAAAAGTTGTTCGCACCCGAAGCACCTACACAATCAAATGGTTGTTTATTTTATTTATTATTATTTTTATTATTATTATTAATATTATTATTATTATTTTTTTTTTTTATTATTATTATTATTTTTTTTTTTTTGACTGGTCCTGTCGATTATTTTTATTATTATTATTTTTTTTAACTGGTCCTGTCGAAGCCGTACTACGAGCATGTAGCAGAACAGTGAATTTTGGATGATACGCAGATATTTCTTTGTCTTTTTAGAAATTAGGAAAACCAACCGACGATTTGTGGATTAATGTGAACTCACACAGATGGACTGAAACTATTGCATTTTGCGGCAAATTACTTGTTTTTATTTCCGTACTTAAAAAACAAACCTCTCAGCGTTTTTCGACGCTTGACGCATGCAAAAATGTATAGATCTTAATGGCGAATATTTTCAAAAACAATAAAGCAATTTTCGATGATAAATATTTGTTTTTGTTCTCTAATCAATAAAAGACAAAAGACAATCCTTGTAAAAGATTAGAAGACAACTGTCACATACGGTATAGCTAATTTTGTTAGCTTATTCATAGTGCTGGGGACATAGTTAATGTCATCGAGAACAGCTAGCACCAACGAGATACTCGATTATGCACTTTTTCTATGAGTACGTTCCAAAGGAAGAGGGAGACCAACTCAACGGTTTGCTGTGCTGTTTACTATAAATATTGACTACAGTCGAAGGGTTTAATTGGAATAAAATAAAATTTACTAGAAATTACACACGCGCAATTCATTTGGCCAGTTAAGAAAAAGAGAGTATAACATATGTAGATAACGGCTTACAGCTGTATAGTAAATGATCAATATATTTGACAAGTTAATCGATATCAGCGGAAAATCTACTTTGACAGCAATTTTACGTTACCTGTCGTACTGAAACAAAAAAGTCATTTTTATATTATATTAAAAATATTATACATAGAATAATTACTATATATTATATTTTTCAGCATTAGAGAATGAGTATACAACAGCGGAAAAGCTGGGATCATTTGGAACCTCTATATTTTCTCAATATTAGCTGCACAGGCCATACCCCACAGTTGAATACCTAACATCCAAATTGACTTTATATTTGCATTGCAAATGATTGAAGTGCCTCTTGCAGGTGAGCATTCTATCTAGGTGTAGTTAGATACATATTTATGTATGTTTAATCATTTGCTTGGAGAATATTTATACCCTTTGATCTAATTGCAGAACATGTTTGTGGGCGACACAATTGTCCCATTACGGCCAAAACAGTGTTAGAGTAGCAACTTAAACTAATTGAAGGAAGAACAACACTTTTACCTATTGTCAAGTTGAACAACGTACAGTCAACGCCAAAAGAAAGTGTACACCCCTTTGTCTCTAAACATTTCACTTTTTATTTCGGTATAAAAAAAATTAAAATTTTTTAAATCAATTATTATTAATAAATGACTAAATAATGTTCTTATAAGAAATTAACAACAATCCAAAGATAACTTTACAAGAACAAAAACAACACATACAAAACCAAATATACTTAGTAGTTTAAGCGTCAAAACTAGTATACAGTTTGGGAATAATTAAGAAATTCATAAGCTAATAATTTATCTGCCTTCCCTTTGCACTGATAACTGCTTCCAACCTCCTTGACATTGATTCCACTAAGTTGGACACTACTTCCGGCGAAATTTTAGACCACTCCACTAGAAAAACTTCTTTCAGTGTATTCTTGCTGGATATATTTCTTTTCCTTATTCGCCGGTCCAAGTGAGGGGTATCCAGTTGCTTAGGTGTACGGTAAAGCAACCATTCATTTACTACTCTTGCCGTATGCTTAGTATCGTTGTCCTATTGGAAGATCCAGGATTGATCTAAGCCAAATTTCTCAACGCTAGTTAGAGAGTTTTTTTTTTAAATGTTTAGGTAATCAATTTAATTTTATTTTGCTATCAATAAACACCATCCTTCCCACTCCACTTGCCGCCATGCACGCCCAAATCATCACCGACCAAACTCTAGATTTTTGTTTCGCCAAACGTCAGTATTTTTTCCCTCGAAATCTTCGAACTTTCTTTCGTCAAAAAAAATGCATTATTCCAAAAAGATTTGTCTTAAGTTTTCTATTTTTCCGCAAATTCTAATCGCCGGTTTTGCTTCTGCGTAGCGATGTGAGGTTTTTTCCTTGGTACCCGACCATACAGGCCATTAGAATGCAATGCTCGCCTGATTGTGCTTGAACTAACATTCAGTCCGGATGTTCTGGGCATTTCTTCTGATAATTTGACGGTATTTTTCTGTATTTGTACACTTTTTTGACGTCTAAACTAGGGAGTATATTTGGTTTTGTTTGCGTTGCTTTTGTTCTTGTAAAGTTTTCTTTGGATTGTTGTTAATTTCTTACTTTCGTCTTTACACCGAAATAAAGAGTGAAATGTATAAGAAAAGGGTGTACACTTTCTTTTGACGCTGAGTGTACCTATCCTAGAAGCTAACGAGGTGACATAACTTGGCGTCCACATGGATAGATGTTTAGCTCAAATTTTCCAGTTTGGAAAAAAGAAATCAGGACTCAAATATGTGCACAGCTTGCACGATGACGAAGATATATTCCAAACATTCCAATCGATAACGTTAAGAATAATAACGGGCGCATCATGGTACATGCGGAATGAAAACATCCATAGAGATCTAAGTACAATATGTATATGCATAATCAAAGTACGTAGCAAAACTACAGAATCATCCGAACCCTTTGGCTAAACCCTTGGCCTCCGCAACAAGTCAAACGAGCCTGTGAAGCAACATTGAGCCTGGAGCCCACTCCTGGGTATTAAGGATATCATATTTAATTTTAATTTAGATTTTATAATTTTTTTTACTTATTTTGAGGCTTCCAATGTCGGAGCAGATTCAAAAAATAAATGTAAATGTTGTTAAAAACATTTATGTATGTAAATATATGTAAATGTAACGTGCTTACACTTTTGCTTATTAACTTTAAATCTCTTGTTTGCCAGGTATTTTTCGATGTGGAGCTAATGGTCCGCAATCGTTTGTGAAAAGATTATTATTTGCTCTATTATGAAATTCAATTAAATATTTGCTATTTTTATAAGGTTTTTAGGCTTTACATATGTATACGAATATACATATGTATGTATGCATAACAATAAAATTAAATATTTTATTAAGATTTCCCTAAAAAAAATTAAGACTCATTAATTTATTGTGACTAATTCATTGGCGGCCACGGTGGCCGAGTGGTTAACATTGCCTACTGACATTCGGAAGGCTCGAGTTTGTATCCCGGTGCCACCAACATCCAAAAGTTGTGGAAAATCAATTTAAATAAAAAATTAAGTTAAGTTTTCTAATTAAGGTCGCCGTTCGGCAGTGAGTGTCCACCCCTGAGTGGGTATTTCGGACATGAAAAAAGCTCCTTATAAGCTTGAAATAAACTGTAGGTTCCTCCATCAAGACGCAAAACCACAAATTGGAGGTGGAGCTCGGCCGAAAACAGCTTCAGCAGTTACAAAGCGTCTTTCATATACATACATATGTTCCAGTGGATTAACAAAAGCTCGGTAAGTTGACCATAAAAAAAATTTTTTTTTGTATTTATTCGTATTCTGTCATTGTCCTTTTTTATCTTCTATACATAAACGCCATTGATTTGAATTGCTACTTATGCCGCTAAAACAGTCTCCAAAATCGTACCTTTTAATTTATCAAGTTTAGCATTAACCACTTTAATTACCTCCTCGTTTGCTGTCCTCAAATTTTTTTAAATTCCTTTATTTTTTATAACGATTCCAGCAATCAGAATAAAATTGCTCGTTATTTGAGCCATGTGGGATGGTGAGTTGTCATGATGTGAAAAGTAGCGCCACAAATCCTCTTTCTTCCTGTTTTCCAACAAATTTTTTAAAACTTTTGGTAAGCACTCTTCGGTGCATTATTTTGTAGTTATCGTCTGAACCTTTTCCAGTGGAATAGCAGCTACGATTTCAGATCGGATGAGGTAAACTGACATCATTCCTTTTGTTGCAGATTTTTGTTGCCTAGATTTTACGGGTAGGTTTGCTCCTATTGGGCTTCGTACCATGCACTGCTGTTTAGTTTCTGGATCGTACTTATAGAACCAAGTTTCGTCACCAGTAATGACTTTACTAAAGTTGCTAGACTGACCATTTTTGAGTTTGTTTAGGAAAAATTGAGTAAAATGCACTCGAGCCTCTTTCTGGGCCTCATTTAAAATTCGTGGCACCCATCAGATTTCTTCGTTTATCCCAGATGATTATTTAATATTCGTGATGCAGCCATGGAATTCAAGCCCAATTCATTAACAATGATTTCTTGTGTCAATCGAGGGTCTTTGTCATTTTTTGACTTCACCAGATCCACAGTCTGTAGAGTGGAAGGTTTTGGGCGTTCTTAGAATAATAGACGGTGCAATCGTTCCATATGCAATTTGGTATTCACTGATTATTTGTATTGGCTGTAAATTACGCCGAAACAAGGGGAATTTTTGTTTGCGTTGGTGATGGAATTTCGTCTGATATATTCGCATCTGTCTTGCGTTTCCTCGGCTCCATTTCAGTCTAACGATCTAAAATTTGAAAGGATGACTAATAAAGTAATTGCAAAGGATTTGATATTTATAGACTAAACAAAAGCAAACTGAAAGTCACCAACTGACCGAACGTTTGTTAATCCCCTCGTTTATGCTACATACATTTACTTTGTTTTTATATAAATACATATGTATGTATGTAATTGAATAATCAGCTATGTGTATTTATAAATTTATTGAAAATAAAATAACAATTTAAGCTTTATAACCGCATAATGAGGTTCTTCTCCCATACTCGCATACATTGTTACTTAGCTGCCTCCTAACAACAAACATAGTTTTTAAGAGAAGCTTTTATTTCACATTGGAAAGTCACTCGGCGTGATGCTGATCTAACCGATCGCTCCATCGCACGACTCTTCAGCACGCACTGATATCAACCACACAAAATTTACAATATATGTACATATGTACGTATTCCTCACATTAAATTCGTCAACAATCGCTCAATGCTGAGCGGCGATAGAGTAAGTATGTAAGTATGTATCTACCTGTAGAAGTAAGTAATTACAGGTGAGTCGAGCGATAACAGTTCAAAAGCTACATAAGATAAGAATCTCATAATATTTTACCATATTTAAGTTTATATATAATCGGGCTTTGACGGTGATGTAGTCAGTTAGAAGCTTACTCCAGCCGCGAGCGTACGTAGTATTTATCTACCGTGTAATAAATTGAAAAATCTAACCTGTCGCGCTTCACTTATTTTCAACGCTCAAGCTAAGCATCGTTAGTTGTATACATATATACATATAAATTTGGCGTGTCAAACTAAGTGCGGCTGTACGGTTAGAACAAGTTTCGCACTGGTTATCTCAATTCCATAACCATATGTGAGATTCATCTGTTGTGATTCATAAGCTTATTATCACTTAAAACCAGATACTTGTGTATATACGTACATATATAATAAATATAGCAGGCATTTGTTTGTTTGTATTGTTGTTAGTATAGAATAATAATTATTGATAACAAATTTACACTCATATATTGGTTTCGCGCAGAATCACCGAATATTTTACTCGTAGTGGCAAATAGACACATACACATACATACGTACATAAGAAAAATCTCTATTTTTGTTAACGACATTAAAAAGCCAATTTGTAAGTCAATATTGTGTACACTTATTGCATTGATCTATATCTTAATTGCGCCACGGATACCAACATGAAATTTACACACACACACACACATACATAAATATACATTTTAAGTCGCTGCACGCAGCCACTATTTAGAGGTTGACTTATATGTATATGTATGTATCTCAATTCTTCAAGTGTTTACTTTTTGCTATATTTCAAGTCACGAGCTAAAGTTAGAGCTAAAATATTTGCATTTTTATTTAGACCCGTACATAAGCGTTTACATAAATACTTAGACATACATTAAGGCATGTGACATTAAGCCTTAAATTATGTTAATGGATTGATATGGAAAAGTGATTGTTTATTTGTTTACATTCTTTGTTATATTAATATAGAAATCTGTACACAAAACACAAATTAATTATTTAAATTGCATCAATTTATACAAAAAAAAAAAAAGTTATGAATATTTCGAAAATGTTATCTGAAACACCTACATCGGATTTGGGATTTGGTGATAAGGTAAGAGAAATTGTTATATAATATTATACTATAAAAGAAAATAATTAATACCGTTAGGGACTCTGTTCGATTTCGAATATTTACTTCTTATATAAATGTATTTGATATTAACAAAAAACAAAATTTTTATGAGTTCTTCAACCTCAAAACTGGAGTTAACAATAGACACTGCAAGTACAGTACCTCTTTATCCCTCTTCTTTGAAACAACTAGGCGACGAGTAGAAGATGAAGAAACACGCATTGTATACTGTCTGTACAAAGTATTAATAGAACCAATCTTGTTCTACAGTGTCTTAAAACTCTCTATAATCTTTATCAAGTTAATCTTCAAGTGGCTGAAATCGCTTTAGCCAGCCGTTGCGTTTTTTGAAGACAGCCGATTGGGTTGATGAATTTTCTTATGCTGTAATCTAGTGCAACCATATTTCGGTGCGCCGACGAATTCGATCAGCCTCCACCCATTGGGTAGTTTCGTCAGCCTCTTCGGCAGTTGTGCCGAATCACCAAGCACTTCTTGAAGTTAAAATTGCCAAGCACAATTTACAAGCCGTGATGGGATTCTGTGCTTATGAGTACGCTTCATACGCTCTTGTACAAATCCTCCTTCTCTCCCGCGTGACGTGGGCGTAAGTTAGAGATTTTCTAAAAATGGTCGACGGTGTCTCTCTCTCACCGCAAGAGGTATCTCAACTGAAGCTGTTGTCTCTATATCATTTGAGTTGATTTCAGCGAACACATAAACCAAATATGTGGGAGTGTTTCCACTGAAGCTTTTAAACGTGATCCAAGGCTCCACACGGGTTGGTTACAGCATCATGTTCAAGGGTTGCTCACGTTTCCAGTGTGTGCGACATGCACGTATTGGTAGGAATTTAAGAAGGAAGCTTGATTACACACTATCCGCCATTATCTGCCTTACTGGCTTCAGCTAGTAAGTTTTAAAAGAGAAGAGTGATTTTTCCTGCAAGCTGAACACTTGAAATGGGATATTTCCTTTTGCGGGCTTGACTATAATTGCTGTTTGAAAATTTAGAAATCATCTCTAAAATAAGCAGTTTCTTATGAAATATGCATAAATTAATGAAATATATTTCTTTCTAGCAAGAGGCCAAGCAACCGAGTGCTTTGAAAGTTGCTAGTATGACCAGAAGGCGATCGTCTGCAGCATCTACATGTTCATTCAGCTCAGGTAAAATAAATACGAGTGATGGGGTTTAATTTGTGAAAGCTCTAACCGACACCTATTTAGCTTGTTATACGGGTAGCTCAGACGAGGATCCAGTGTCTCCGCGGGAGAAGAAGCAACGTAATACTACCGGTTTCACGGATTTTTGTGTTAAAAATATTTCTTCCCAACATTCTTTCGGCAGAAGAGAAATAGAAATTGCAGAAAAGGAAATGCCTGGAATTCTGGCATTACGAAAGCGTGCCTCAGATGATAAACCTCTAAGAAATGCTCAAATTGTTGGCTGTACTCATATTAATGCACAAACAGCGGTACTTATCGAAACATTGGTTGAGTTGGGGGCAACTGTGCGCTGGGCTGCTTGCAACATTTACTCCACACAGGTAAATTCATTCTCCAATTATATATTTTCTAGGAATATATTTAAATTTTTAGCGGCCTATATGGTTTTCCTAGTTCTTTTCAATTTGGTTAGACACGATTTCTTGATAATTCGGAGAAATGGCAAAGCCGTGGTTTGCGTTGCTGCGGTGCCAAATATTTAACTTTTTAGTATTGCTTTTTTCATTTGGTTTACAAATATTTTCCAATTGTAAACGAAGATTTGTAGAATATTTTATAATGAAACCCATGCCCCAATATTTTATCTTTCCTATCATTTAACTGAATTAAATCATAAACTTTTTAGTAATTAAAATTTCTGAAATGTATTTCATATGAGTCTGAGCAACAGTATTTTTCCTAAGGCTTTCGAGGCTTCAAAAAATTCCTTTTTTTCTCAAATCTATTCAAAAGCTATCCAAGAATATGTGTTCGAAATTTCAGTCGCCAATTTGACTAATTCTAGAAGCTACAACAGCTTTAGTGGGCGAACTTTGAGCAGATTCAAAAGCTCACGCAGAACTTAGAAGCGCGTTTCTCGAAATTTTATTTTTACAAGTCTTAGAGAACGGTGCTGGTAAAAAGAATATAGATATGTATACTTCCGATAATAAAAAAAAAATAAGTTTGTTAATTAATTTATCTTCTATTTGAACTAAAAAAGTTGGCCAAAAGTATTATTTAAACAATTTTTTTTTTGCAACTTGAAATGAGTTTTATTTTAAAAATGTAATTTTTTTCAACTTCTTCAGACGGTTTTTGATACTAAAAATTATTTTTTGAAGCCTCAATAATTTCCTTCGCATTTAAAAAAACAGCTGAAAAACGCTTTTTTCCATAACATATTTTTTATATAATTTTGTACGATAGTTTCACTTTAAATTTTTAATTTTAAATGTGTTTGCTGAATTGTTTGGTCTTGACATTTATAGGGTATACAACTTGGAGATTTTCTAGGTAGAATACCTTCTAAATTGATTTCAAGCCGCTTTTCTCAGGCGTTAAGAATAAGAAAAAAATTACTAGCCACTTTTTATTGTATATAGAAGTATGCATATATAACTTAAAAAAGTTGAAGTTTTATTTATTTATTTAATAAACTTCGATTCTTAAGTTTCGAAAAAAGTATATTAGATTAAGTTACAAAGTGTTTGGAAATATCCCTGCCAGAACAGCTTGATGTGTTCACCAATAAACTTATACGATTTTGAAATATATATAAATGTGCCGTTATACATAGCAATTGAATTTAAATTTTTTGGAATTTACACTTTGCAATTTTTCTTTCCGCTCGCTTTCAATGCATAGAGAGTTCATATGAAAAAAAGATATTGAGGGGACTAAAGATTCATAAAAAATTCGAATTTTTATTTTAACAATCTTGAGGCCAACTTCTCACCATTGAGAGCGTTAGCCATGGACAGGAAAAGATGGTAATCACTTGGTGCTAGGACCGGACTATAAGTTGGTCGCATTAGGATCTCCCCTCCGCGCTCCTGGAGTTTCTGGCGCGTCTCCAAAGGCGTGTGTGGCCTAGCGTTATTGTCCTGATGGAACACAATTCAACCTATGTTGATCAAAGATGGCTTCTTATGGATGTGTGCTACCTTTAAGCGGTTCATTTGTTGGCAGTAGAGGGTCAAATTGAGCGTTTGGCCATATCGGAGCAGCTCGTAGTAGATGATTCCTTCCAATCCCACCAATAACACAGAAAATCCTTCCTGGCCGTCACTCCGGTCTTGGCCTCCGTCTGGGCCGCTTCCCCGAGCTTTGACCACGACCGTTTGCACTCGATGTTGTCGTACGTGACTCATTTTTCAAACGCCAGTCACAATCCGCTTCAGAAACGGGTCAATTTTGTTGCAATTCAGCAGCGATTCGCAGATGGAAATTCGGTCCATCATGTTAATTTGCGTTAGTTCGTGTGGCACTCAAACATTGAGCTTGTTTTGGAATCCAAGGCTATGCAAATGGCTCCAAACGGTTTTCTGGCTTATCTCTAGTTCCTCAGCAATTGAGTAAGTGCTCATGCTATTTCCATGATTTTATCGCAATTTTCGACGACAGGCCTCCCGCATCTTTGACATCGAAATTCCTGGAACCGAACCTAGCAAACCACTTTTGTGCTACACGTTGGTTTACAGTAATAACAACAGCATAAACTAAATTAATTTTTTCAGCCGCTTTGGCTTTCTCGCCTTGATCGAAGAAAAATTTTAAAATATAGCGAATTTTCTCTTTGCTGGTGTCCATCTTTGACGAGCGCTCACAAAGTACTGAGTCAATCAATCGAAAAACTGTCAAAGACAAACTTTTAGCGTGAATAAACACGTTTTCAAAGCGCCGTATTGTATGACATGATGCGGCCATCTCTTAAATAAAAACCGAACGAACTTTTACTTGACCTAATATTTTAATAGTATAATGTGTGAAGGAAATACAAATTTCGTGAAAACTGGCACGTCTGAAGACACCTTAATACATAAATGTTGTTTTTTTTTGTTTATCTTCTGAGTAGAGTATAGTTGAATAGATTATCCCTTTTATCTTGTACTTTTAAATTTAAATAGATCGTCATTCTTATCGATTCCCACTTACTTTATAAGCATTTCTATATGTATATATTCAAACAAATCGGCTATCTAAATCACGCGGCTATTAAATATAATAATATATTATTTTAAGTGAGTAAACAATACAAAGGAAATGATAAATTTACAAATATATAGAAGATAGATATATGAATAATGATGCCGATTACACTACAGCTTGAGGTAATAATAAATAGTCGCATAATTTACTACTCCATTTTTTATTGTTATTCTCAATTTGTTATCTATTCTCAATAGGTCAAAGCAATATCGGCGAATGCGCACCACATAGTATGGAAAATTTAGTTAAACAAAATTCAGGTTGGTGTGAGAAATAGGCAAGCAATTTCAAACATTTTCAACAAAACTTTGCGAGGACAATTTCCATTGGATTTGAACATCCATTTATTATTTTACGTAGACGACTTTCAACTTCAAGGGAGGGGAAAAAGGAACAACGTTCAACTGTTCTAAACGTAAATAAAGTAAAATAAAATTTCTCTTAGCAATATATGGCTCACAGAGGCATCTTCGAACCTTTCCTCAAGCTCATGAATATAAAATGTCCCTTTATTTTCCATTATATTTATACATACATATGTATATTATTGTAAAAGAAAATAAGTACATTCGCAAATCAGCTGTTTTCTGTTCACAAACAGAACAGATGTCGCTGTCGAAAAAAATTTAACCAGTGCTTTGACCGCCCGTTAAATTTAACAGGCTTTGAGAAAACGAAAACGTGTTTAAAGATCAGTTAAATTTTAACAGACACCCGAAAAAACGGCTGTTAGCTTGTTTCGTTTGAAATAATTTGTTTACTTTTCAAAAAAGACTTTTTTGTAGTATTCATGACTCGGAAAAAAAGTAGTTTCACCTAACATAAAATTGACAGAAAAAGATTCTTTAACATTATGTACATATATCTAATTTTCATTCTGCCATATAGTGCTTGGATTTTTGACAAACTCAAGTCTTAGCATATTCTTTGATATGTCAAAGGTAAACGTGCATCTTGTAAATGCTTTATTTTGGATCGAAGGGCTCCTTCTCTCACTAGTTCGTCTGTCGTGCAATTGCTTGGAGTGTGCGGGCACCCAAACTATGGCAGTGTTACATTTAGCCGAGAATTTTATCACATTGATTCTACATTTTATAGCCACTCTATATGTGGTACTGTTACACGGTAGAGATTTGATGGCAGCTTGAATCTGTAGTAACTGATATTCCTGCTATCTCATTATTGAGAGCCCTGTAAAGATGGGTATGGCTTCTTGATCGAGGGCGTTTGTTTTCACCTATTCACTCCTGTTTGGGATTCTTGTGGAAGTAATCTGTAGAGTTTTGTATGTACATAGAAATGGGAGTTAGATTCCAAGTTTCACAAAATGAAGGATCTACATCTATCTAGTAATTTCATGCTAGTGTTTCAAGGAGCTTTGAGTCATCTGTAAAGATGAGTTTGGCTGCTGTTTGGGAATCTCGTTTGAACAGAGTATCGAGGCAATCCGTTGTGTTTTGTATGTACATCTATTATTTTTCCAAGCTCCACAAGATGAAGGACCTGCACCTTTCTGTATTCGTGTGATAGACCATTTTTTGAAAAGAAAATTACGTTTATATAATATTATAGTTAAATATAATATATTACTACCAAAAACGGTAATGGTTGTTTTTGTTCTCCTGTTCTCATCTTTATGAATTCACCTTGACAAAAATTAATCAAAAGTCAAAAACTATTTTTATGCGAGATAGTTTTGGAAACATACATATGTATGAATGTATATACATATGTATATGTATATATATGCAGAAAATGTTTATACAAAGCTTATTTATTATAGTGCCAATGCTGTCGCTTGCTTGCTTTCGGTTTGTACAGCATCCCTGCGCTTGTTCACGTCAATATTGATTTGTTTTGGGATCTGTGCTGACACTCAGCTGTCTTCTGTTTGTCCAAGACCAATGATGAAAATACATAAAAGAATAAATAGATTATGAATTTTCATATTTGGTTTGCAGAACTGTCAAATTAACCGTTAAAACAATATCCCTTTGTTCAAAAATGTTCTGAAATACCGTTAAAATTAATCTACAAGCACGATTCAGAGCAACAGCACGGTTAGCAAAACAAATCAAAGTAACTTTTTTTTTAATTCCATTGGGGCGATTGCAATGCAGTAATACTCGTATGCATAATTATCATTCCAATTCATGGGGTTTATATGACGATAAATGAAACTAAAACGGTAAAGCTAATAAATTTCATCGATATAACTTAGCTGAATGAAATGATCATATTGCTTGATTAATCGTAGGGAGATGAGTTAAAATGAGGCAAATGGTGGGTTAGTGGGAACGAGTGGGAACTTGAAGTATAAGACGTTGATCATGTTAGATAGAGGACATTATTTTTAGGCTTATTTGCTTTTCTACAGTTTTTCCGTTATTCCCTTATCACCCATATCATTGCTTTTGAAGCAACTTTCCAAGACTTAATGAGTGAATGGAAGGCAGCATCATGCTTTACGCCAAACATTAAATATTTTGATAATTTACCAGCAATATTTGCGAATTCCATAGAAAAATATTATTGTACATACATACATACATATATGTTATTTTATTAAGCTTTTTTCTCGCTCTTTCGATAAATTCACAAAACAATTTTAAAGTGGTTTAAAGTGGTTTATGCTTGCTGAGTATTGACGTAAGCAAACGCTGGGATTTCGCACAAACAGAACCCAGATGAACGTCAGCATTGGTCTCAAAGCAAACACCAATATTTTTACTTAGATCAGGTACATAGAACAATAAATTTGTTTCTGAAACATCCTCCCTCATATTAGCGGCTCTTTTAAAATTAAAAGATGTATATATCATTGATGTTTTAATTTTAAGGCAGCCACTAATATGAGGGAGGATTTTTCCGAATTTATTACTATACAATTAAAATTGTACCTCGCAAAATTTTGTTGCATATTTTTTTGCATGCTTCTCACATCGTTCATTCTAGTCGACCTTCTCCATTAGGTGAATTTTAAGGCGTGGGGTGCCTTCTGTGATAGTGCTGATCAAACTCTAGACAGGAGCTTAGACTTGTAATTAGGAGCCAACAGGTCCTACTTTGGACTTAGTAGGCAATTGAAAAGTTAAGTCCTCTCTCGGAAAACGAAAACCAAACTCTACAAGTCCCTCATCATACCGGTCCCACTATATAGCGCAGAAGCGTGGACGATGTCAACATCTGATGAGTCAGCTCTAGGAGTCTTCGATAGAAAAGTTTTGGGAACGATTTATGGTCCTTTGCGCATCGGCAACGCCGAATACCGTAGACGATAGAACCATGAGCTGTACGAGCTATATGATGTTATTGACATAGTTCAGCATATAAAGAGACAGCGGCGCTCTGGCTTTGTCATGTCGCCCGAATCGATGAAAGCACTCCAGCTTGGAAAGTACCCGCCGGTGGCAGCAGAGGAAGAGGATAGGGACCTGGTATTTCCAACTGGCGCCATGTAGCGAAAAGAACAGAGGAATGGTGCGCTAAGATTGATTCGGCTATAGTCGCGTAAGTAAGTGGTGCCAACGCCAAAAGAGAAGAAAAAAAGAAGTTAGAAGCCAGATATAGGTTTTGTTTGTATGCTCAAAAGACAAAACATAAATCCAATAAGGGTTGGAAAATTCTAAGAAAAATGGTATATTTTGAGATAATTGATAGGATTTTTATTTGGATGTAAAAAGGACAATATGCTATGAATGGCTGTCACAGCTAGGCTTACAGGACCGCATCCTTTTCATGCAATTTTCCATCGCAATTCGCAAATCGCAAAGTAACTGTTGTACATCCTCAATTGCTTCACGAATTCCGTCTTTGAGGTCTTAAATATACTATGGCCTGTTGGCTTTTAGACCTTTCTTTCACGTGGATAAAAATGAAGAAGTTACAAGGGATTAAATCACAGGATCTCGGCGGCCAATTGCCAACACTTTTTCGAGAGATAACACGGTCTGGAGGCGTTTCCTTTCAAAGCTCTATGGCTTCGTTGTACAGATCAATACCATCCAATTCTGGCCTGTTGCTTCAGCCTATTTTTCGAAAAAGTAAGGCCCAATGAGACGCCTCCAGACTATGAACCGTATCAAACAGTTACATGTTTAGTATGGAGAGGCTTTTCAACATAAATCTTGGGTTTTTCGAGCCCCAGATGCGACAGTTTTACTTATTGACTTAGCTATTGAGCTGGAAAGAAACCTAATCAGTCAAGATGATTTTTCGAAGAAATTTTTATAGTGAATTTTAAAAAATTCAATGCATTGTTGAGCATGTACCGTTCCATTTTTGAAAAAATTACAGCTTCAAAAGTGACATTTACCGGAAAAGCAGGCATCTCTTATAGGAAAACCCTTTACAGCTGCCTATCTTTCGGAGAAAATTACCTATAAAGAAATAGAACACAAAAGGAAAACTAACGGCGTAATATTACAGTTATAGTCTGTACGAAATATTCGCCAAAAATTACTGGACAAGTTTTACAAAAATTCATGCTTCCCATAAATTGCAACAAACACTTAATTTCTCATTTTAGTTTAGTTGGAAGCCTAAATAGGCACACCTTTTAAGACTTTCATAATGAATATTCATGCACTAATTGTTAAATATTATTAATTCACCAAATGTTCACTTTAAAACGTTTTTTTTTTTCAAAATGATTTTATAGAACGCAGTAGCCGCTGCACTCGCTGAAGCGGGCATTCCGATATTTGCTTGGCGTGGGGAAACCGAAGAAGACTTCTGGTGGTGCCTAGATAAGTGTGCCCACTCCGATAATTGGAATCCAAATATGATCTTGGATGATGGAGGCGATGCCACTCACTTAATGTGGAAGAAATATCCCATTATTTTCAAAGGGATCAAAGGTATTGTGGAAGAAAGTGTGACTGGGGTACATAGATTGTATCAATTGGTGAAAATTGGAAAACTAACAGTTCCAGCAATAAATGTTAACGACTCTGTAACGAAAGCCAGATTCGACAATTACTACAACTCAAAAGATTCAATTCTCGACAGGTATGTATAAATATACATATACATATGTATATATGTACTTATGTATGTATTTAGAGTTTGCAGTTAGATATGTAAATATGTATATTTTGGATTTGTTAGTTTGAAAAGATCAACGGACATAATGTTTGCTGGTAAACAAGTGGTAATTTGCGGCTACGGAGATGTGGGAAAAGGTTGTGCGCAAAGTCTTCGTGGGCAAGGCTGCGTAGTTTACGTAACTGAAATCGATCCGATTTGTGCATTGCAAGCAAGGTAAGGATATATAAGTATGAAGATAGTTTTAAATATTTTTTCCATACAATTAATATTTTTTTTTTATTTAGCATGGATGGCTTTCGAGTAGTCCGTTTAAATGAAATTATTCGCCAAGTCGATATTGTTGTAACAGCTACCGGTAATAAGAATGTCATCACTCGAGACCATATGGATCGCATGAAATCTGGTTGCATAGTTTGTAACATGGGACATTCAAACTCGGAGATTGATGTGGTATGTAAAGAACATAAACGAGGTGTGTTTAAAAAATAACGAGAAATTTCAAATTCCGCGATCTTGGAGAGTCAAAAGTCAAAAGTTAAGAGAGTAAAATTTCTTTATCATATACATAGGTACATGCCAAAGGTTATGCCCTGATTTTATTAAGTTAAAATGCCTTTTTATTGTGTCACTGATCGGATGTAGTTATAGCGCTGTAGAAGTCAATTTCGACAGTTCTTAAGCTGAAGATATAATTCTTTTTCAAAAGAGTAAAAAAATGAATAAGAATAATTTTAACGACGTTAAAAGTGTGGAGCAAGAAGAGGACTCAGCAAAGAAAGCCAAACCAGTGCTGGATTTTACACCACACTTCAATCCAAGCTGGTCTATTAAGACCCAAAGTGGTTGAAGAACTTCTTGACAAGATTTCGTGATGGGATCTGTGCGGGTGAAAGACTCGCGGTCACACTACACTATTTAGACACAGGAAATAACTTCTCAAGTTTGATGAGAGCTATATGTATATATAGTCAAGTAAAAAGTTTGTTCGGTTTTTTTTTTATTGATTTTTCAAAATATGATAACTTTGTGTACATTTGTCAGATTAAGATCAAATATGCGCCATTATGTTTGTAAACTTGATACCAACTTCATTATACCCCTCTTGTAGAAGGCTACGTGCCTATTGGCAAAAAAACTTGAAGAGCCAATTTTGCACAGGCCGCGTTCGCCATGGACAGGAAAAGATGGTAATCACTTGTCCGGACTATAAGGTGGGTGCAGTAGGACCTCCCATCCGTGCTGCCGGAGCTTCTGGCGCGTCACCAAAGACGTGTGTGGCCTGGCGTTGTCTTAATGGAACACAATTCGGCCTCTGTTGATCAAAGATGGCCACTTCCGCATGATTGCTGCCTTCGAGCGGTCCATTTGTTGGCAGTAGAGGGCCGAATTGAGCGTTTGGCCATAGGGGAGTAGCTCGTCCTCCCTAATGTCTCTTGCCGAAAATTTTTGTTTTCCTTTCTACCTTTTATTTGTATGTCGACCATTATTTTTTATTACACTATATATGTATTTTTTATTATAGAATAGTTTACATTCACCTGAACTATCCTGGTTGAGAGTGCGCTCTCAGGTGGATCATATCATTTGGCCTGATGGTCGTACGATCATACTTTTAGCCGAAGGACGCCTTGTCAACTTGTCGTGTTCAACTATTCCTTCCTTTGTGGTATCAGTTACTGCTGCAGCACAAGCATTGGCTCTCATTGAGTTATATAACGCTCCAACTGGCCGCTATAAATCCGACGTTTATTTGTTGCCAAAAAAAATGGGTGCGTGTACATGCAAAATGGGGTGTAATATAAATTATAAAAATTTTTGTTATTCATTTTTTCGCAGATGAATACGTTGCAAGTTTGCATTTGCCAATATTAGATGCGCATTTGACAGAACTTACTGATGAGCAGGCGAAGTACTTAGGACTCAATAAAGCCGGACCTTTCAAGCCAAACTATTATAGGTTTGTACGAACATAAATACATACATACATGTTTTTACAATATTAGTAAGTGTAATATGTAGGATTCAAACTAAATAATTTTTTTTTTTGTTATAGATACTAAATTTAACTGGAGAGAACAACGAAAATATACCCATATGTACTTACATATATATTTTTTATATGGAAATCATGTTCACCTTGTTTCTCCATATTTACCGTAAATCTTAAAAGGAGTGATTGTAAAAGGTGACGCAATTATCGCAAAGACATGCAGACATACATACATATATAAGTATAATATTTTTAATTTACACATGTACGTACTTACATGCATCCCTATGTAATGGCGAAAATTAGAAATTATTTTCGGATGTTAAGCATTCGCTAACAAAATTCATAATTAATCATAGAAATAAATGTACAGAAAAAAAAACAATTGCACTTTTACTGTAGTTACTCATAAACTAATTCGAGTTGATTAGTTTCATAAAAATGAGATGGTGTTCTAGCTTTACTCTGAAGAATCTGAGTGCCAGTAGAAGATGTTAACTCTTCAAAAGCGATCTGATTCGGTCTCTTTCAACGCAAATTAGTCACTAAATTTTCAAATATTTGCTTTAAACTACATAAATCGATTGTTCATATATGGAAGGGGTCGGGAAAAGTAGAAATAGCTGTGTGTTAGTAAGAGAATACCCTGCGAAAAGCCGAGTACTCCAAGCAGCCGTGAATATATACTCCATACAAAATTTATGAGCCCTTGAACAGCCCTAAACCACCAAAACTCCCTATACATACATACATAATATCTGAATAAAAATTTACATTCGAACTTACTTTTTAGTTTTCGAATAATATTGTGTATTTATGTATATCTCGCAAACGAACATTTCGCCGACACCACCAGCAGGCATGCAACTCCAGATCATAATGCTGCCTCCTCCATGCTTAACAGTGGGTACCACGCGTTCTGGATGATATTCTTCCTCAACTCGTCGCCTCACGCACGTCACATCAGGTGCTCCAAATATCTGTAGAAAAGAAAAAATGGCTGTTAGTACTTTAAGACGATCTTAACTAAGCTTACCTCGTCAGACCACAGAACATTCGACCAATCTTCTTCCGTGAAATGTTGCTATCGGCAAGCCTATTCCAAACGATTTTTCCTATTCTTTTCTGAAAGCCACGGCTTCTTTCCGGCTTTACATCCTTTTAAACCTGCTTCCAGAAGTCTTCTTCTAGCTGTTCGAGCACTAACTGGTTTACTAAATTCATCCGAAAGGGCAGCTGCGATTTTCGTCTCGACAAATCGCCTGATAGCACATTGGACCGCGCACCGCGAACATCCCATCCCATTTTTTTAGGCATTTCGGTAAATATCAACTGCTTTTATAAGATTGGTAACTTTTCACTAAATGTAATTTACACTTTCAATATTTTTATTTTTTGAATTCCTTAAAAATGACAATTTTAAGATTTAGCTCACCCAGAGTGCTATGACTTTTAATATTACACAATTTATTCGTTTAATCAAGAGTTAAACACCCATGCAAGACATTTACAAAAATAAGTGATAACTTTCGTAGCAACATTTGAGAATACTTGTATTTTAGTGGGGTGCCTAATACTTTTGGCCAAGGCTGTATATTTATCATGGTACAATAATTTAAAGGTAGTTTCATTTTCTCTTCAAAGTCGGCTGACTGGAATTACATTATCTACCTGTATGTTTAAATGTAAATCAGTCTATTATATGTATTTTAAGGAGATTTTGTAAGCAGTAGGTATTTTTATAGTAACTTTTCATAATCTCGCTATAATTCCTTAAGTCGATTAAATTTCCCAAAACTTTTAAATTTAATCTAAAATATATTAAGATTTGGAAATCTTGTCAGTTAGTTACACCGGTTGCTCGATTGCGGAACCCGACAAAACGATAACGTATCCCACTGAGAGCTGGTCAGTGGCAGAGGTAATAGTCCTCCAATTCTTCCTCTTCTCTGTCACCTTCTGCCATAAGTGTCCGGTTTTTACGCTTATGAAGGTGCTGTTTAAAAGGAATAAATACTTAGTTTTTTTTCAGCGATCTCGATAAATTGTGGTTTCACTCTATCATGTGCTGTTGGCCATCCGGGTGAGTCTTAACAGAAACTTTGCCAAGTAAAGAGGTTTGACCAGGCCATTTGCAGAATTTGCCGGCATTATAATTTTTCCCTATCCGGTCTGCTCATCGGCCACGCAGTTCAATGGATGAGGGACCCAAGCCAATCTAGTTTTCAAAAAAAGGTATAAAAGTCAGTACTTTCCAATATATTTAAAATAAAGAGCATCTCTAAATTCATCATAAAAAAAGTTAAAAGTAAACATAAAAGCCCTTTGCAGCCGGGTGTACGTCAATTAATTTAATTTATATTTTACTTTTAGAGCAGTGCAACTTGATGGCTAATCCGTAAAAATGACGCCTTTTAACTTCTCGTTATTAATCCCCTGATTTCTCTTTACGTGGGGACTCTGTAAACTTCCCTTTAGTGTGTCCAAAATTAAGTACCCATTATTGGCTTCACTCTTTTCGTCCACGAACTTTCTTACGTAACTACGTAGGTCTCTAATACGCTGGACTGAGTCAGTTATTATGTACGGATTGGATCCTAGCAGAAATTTCCAATAAGAGTAGATCCCAACTCCAGCATGGACTCCATGTTGTTCCTCAACTCCGTGATAAGCTATCCTGTTGTTACTTCATGTTCGATTGATGGCCAATCCGTGAAAATGCCGCCTCACTTCTCATTATTAATTCTCTGATTTCTCTTCATATGGGGACTCTATAAACTTCCCTTTGATGCGGCAAAAATTAAGTACCCGATCTTAGCTTCACTCTTTTCTGCCACGAACTTTCTTACTTAATTACCTAGGCCTCTAATACTCTGGTCTGGGTCAGTGGCTATGGTAGGAGTGGAACCTAGCAGAATCCATATTGTTCCTCAACTCCGAGATAAGCCATCCTGTTGTGACTTTATATTCGAGTAAGGAAAGTACAGCACTTGAGACTTGATACAGCACGATGAGAATGATTCTTCTTAGGTCATATTACGCAACTTTATGACGTGTTTCAGTAATCACCTCATTTTGATCGGCAACGATGTTAAGGCTCAGATTTGAACGAGGGAGGCAAGCCACTCTTTAATTATCTTTAAGTACTCATCTACTAAATACTAATACCTCCTCAAAAAAAAAAAAAATGAAAATGGTAGGTCAATATTTGGAGAGTTGTAGAATAGTTCTACTTCTCAGATCATAGATATATGGAATTTTAGCAGATATGCTTCCTGTTCGCAGCTCCGAGAAGTAATCATAAAAGTAATCAATATATTCTGCATATTATGTTAAGTGTACAAAATTTGCCATTATGGGTCAAATATATTTAGAGGTTGGTAGAGTGTTTCGTTACAGCCTGAACAACGGTCCTGGACCGATCGGTTCCTTGCAACTAAGATAAATAATATTTCCACTGAAGAGCATCGATTTCGAAAGAGTGTATTATATAGCCCAAATACAACCAATTAGAAGATATGAGAATTAATATTGACTTGCCAAAAAATAAACCGGTAATTTTTCAGACAAACGGATTTGACAATATTTTTTTGAGCGACTGGTGACTATTTGAAATTATTCAAAAAGTGTACGTATAATTTTGTTTATAATTGTTTGTTTGGCGTCAATTTTAATATGGAGCTCACAAAAGAACATTTTCGCCATATTTTCCTCTATTATTTACTCAAAGGGAAAATGCTTTAATCGAATCGGATCGTCATATAACAGAGCGTGGAGAGAAGTTAAGTAAAATCAAAATTTTATAATCATGTACGACGGATTTGGATTGATGTTTGGATACCAAATAAATTAGAAGAAATTCATTTAACAAGCCGCTGCAAACCTTGTGCATTGATTGTTTAACTAACGTCAATCGAAAACGATCATGATCCAAGCATGATGAAGCGCCAAAAACCACTTCAAAGGCTGATATTCACCAAAAGAAGATTATGCTGTCAGTTTGGTGGGATTGGAAGGCTGATATTCACCAAAAGAAGATTATGCTGTCAGTTTGGTGGGATTGGAAGAGTGTGGTATATTTTGAGCAGCTTCCAAGGAACCAAACAATTAATTCGAATGTCTACTGTGAACAACTGGACAAACTGAATACATCCGTCAACGCGAAGCGGCTAGAATTGGTCAATAGTAAAGGTGTCATATTCCACGTGGACAATGCTAGACCGCACACATCTTTGGTCACTTGCCAAAAACTGAGAGAGCTTGGCTGGAAACGGTTGAGGCATCAACCATCCACTTATTAGATGGTAAAACTTTCCCAATTGGCGAGGCAAAAATATCGCACTTGGTTCAGTTTTATGCAGATAAAGTCCAAAAGTACTATGAGCGTGGAATAATGAAAGAGGAAAGGAAGGATGGCGAAAGGTCATCCAACAAAATGGAAATTGCATAACTAATTTTAGCTCATTGTAAGATTTAAAAAAATTTGTTTACTTTCTTTTAAAAAATCGTAATTTTCTTTTGGAAAAAAAAAACAAAAAACAAATAATAAGCGGCAAAACGTTTTAATTGTTTAATTATTTGTTGATCATTAAGTTTTTGGACCTAGGTCGTAAGCCCACTATTAATTTTTCCGCTGGGCAGAAGAGGCAGAGTGTTCAAGCGGTGGTGAAGTGGTGCAGTGGCAGGTATCACCCAGTAAGTAGAAATCGCATTGCAAACGGCTTATAAATAAAATTATATTATTAATTAATAAAATTATATTATTAATTAATAATTTTATTTACAGTGAACGAATGTAAGTTGGCATTGGTGAGCATGTGGGATAGCTTCCGCTACGGTGTAATAGTGGCTGAAAAAAACATAGATATGGAAGAGCTGGTGAAGATTTTTTACGTGATCCCTCAGTGTCAGAAACGAACGATTCGTCATTCAGCTTTTTCCAATACTTACAATTGGAGTTGTTTTGGTTTCTATAAAATTAATTCATATTTTTATAAGTGATTAAACGAAGGCTCTTGTCCGCATATACATATGTATATGTTTGTATAATAAAAATAAATGATTTTAATAATGTAATGTGGATACTAAAAAAACTGAAGTTAAAATGAAAAAAGAAATTAAAATATAAATGGCCTTACACCAAAAAAAAAAAGATCAAGAAAATTTAATTAAATAAAAATATTCATTTAAATGAAAATGTATTTTTGTTTGTTAGGTGTATCACGACTTCTCAATACTACTATATCAATCACAGAAAACGAGATATTTGGCATACAATATTTTTTTAGAGCATCTGATTTTGTATTTTTTCAAGTGCTGATAAGTTTAACTGCATCATTTGTATTGTTTTTTTGTAAGTTAAGGAAAAGATTTTCC